TGACCGTGGCTTGGGAGTTCATTTCTGGACTTGCAGTACTGGCCCATTGGTCTGTATGTCTGTCCTTACCCATCCTCACCCTCACCTGCTTACTGTTGTTTTGTAATAAGGTTTTGTTTGTTTGTTTGTTTGTTTTTGACAGGTAGAGTTAGTGAGAGAGAGAGACAGAGAGAAAGGTCTTCCTTTTCCATTGGTTCACCCCCCCCCCCCCCAATGGCTGCTATGACCGGCGTGCTGCGTTGATCCGAAGCCAGGAGCCAGGTGCTTCCTCCTGGTCTCCCATGCGGGTGCAGGGCCCAAGCACTTGGGCCATCCTCCACTGCCCTCCCGGGCCACAGCAGAGAGCTGGACTGGAAGAGGAGCAACCGGAACTAGAACCCAGCACCCATATGGGATGCTGGCGCTGCAGGCAGAGGATTAACCTAGTGAGCCACGGCACCAGCCCCCTTGTAATAAGTTTTGAAGTCAGGAGCTGTGAATCCTGCAACTTTGTTATGCTTTTCCATTGTTGTTGTTTCGGCTGTTGGGGGCCCCTTGCCATCCCACCTGAACTAGGACCAGCTTTTCCATCTCTGTCTGAAAAGGCATTGGCGTTCTTAATCAGGCCTGCATGCGAGCCTGTAGTTATTTTGCAGAGTAGTGCTACCTTAGTAGCATTTAGTCTTCCAGTCCCAAGTGAGAGCTTCCATCCCCTGGTCCACTCCCCACATGCCTGCAACAACCAGGACCGGGCCAGACTGAAACTGGGAGCCCAGGTCTCCCATGTGGGTGGCGGAAATCCAACCCCTGGAGCGTCCACTGCTGTTCCCATTGTCTGTATTAGCAGGCAGCTGGAGTCAGGAGCCAGAAGTGGGAACTGAACCCACGATGCACTCCAGTGTGTGCTGTGTTCATCTTAATGGGCACCTTGACCACAAGCCAAAATGTGCCAAAATTTGTATTTTTCCTGCAAATGCTGTAACTGCTCAAATGCACAGATAAGACAGTATTCGTGGACAGCTTTTGTCAAACTGTGCTAAGCTCTTTATGCATATTATGCCGTTTAACTTAATGACAACTATATAAGGTATGATTTCCATTAGCTGCATTTTATCATAAGATCTAAAACCTGAGGGATTTAGTAGTGTGTCAGAGTAGCACACGTGTTAGCGGGGAAGCAGGAGCTGACCCGGGTAGCTGACTCCAGAGCCGCCCTGGTGTTGTCCTCTATCCTTGGGGCTCATCCTCCCCCAACCCTTTACCTGGCATTGACTGAGTGCTGTATCCGCTGGGCCTGTGCTGTGTTAGCATCTGGGCGAGGTTCCTGTGTTGTATTTATTTGAAAGAGTTAGAGAGAGAAGGAGAGGCAGAGAGAGAGAGAGAGAAAGGGAGATTTTCCATCTGCTGGTCACTCCCCAGTTGGCTATAATGGCCGGAGCTGGGCCGATCCGACGCCAGGAGCCAGGAGCTTCTTCCCAGTCTCCCACGTGGGTGCAGGGGCCCAAGGAATTGGGCCATCTTCCACTGCTTTCCCAGGCCACAGCAGAGAGCTGGCTGGGAAGTGGAGCAGCCAGGACTTGAACTGGCACCCTTATGGGATGCTGCACTGCAGGTGGTGGCTTTACCCGCTACACCACAGCACCGGCCCCAAGGTTCCTTTTTTTTCTCAGCTCGCACTCGGATCTTGGTTTTTCTCTACTTCTCTGGCGCTCTATCTGCTTTTGCTCTTGGAATGCTGGCGACGGTGCTGTTCCTCTTGGCCTCTGCGCTCTCCCGTGAGTCTCAGGGCCTCGCTCTTTGGTGCTGACGGTGCCTCCATCTTTGGCCTGACCTCGTGCCTGCCCTCCACTCTGCGGTTTCAGCCGCACCTACATTCGTACACTCTGGCCGACATCTCCGCCCTCTGACCGCCTTTCTGGTTCGGTCACCCATGCTTGCAAGCTCTGCCCAGTGCCGCTGCCAAGCCTGACGATGTGTGGCTCAGTAACAGCCTTTGCACGTGTGAGGGCTTTAGCCCACGGGTGAGAAGGGAAGAGCTGGGCACACAGCAGCATGGCGATGGACTTGTCACCTGTACACAGTCTCCGCCCCGCATCACTCACGTCCTTTCTTGAGATGTTAGCGCTCCGCACCTGTTCCCCCTACAGGCGGAAGAGGTGGAGGTCCCTCGGCTTAATGCAACTTGTTTTCAGACCTCTCGTGGCTTCCTCAGGGAGATCCTTCTCCCTTAGGCTTCATCCCAAGACGCTTCCAGTAGATCTGTCCGTAGAGAATAGATGCGGACTGGCCGGAGACTTGGGCACTGACTCTGAGTCCACCTGCTGGACTCCCCGAGACCTGGAGGCCAGCTGCGTTTGTGCGAAAGAGCTGCTGTCAGTTCTCTCCCCCTTTCTTGGTGCAATGTCAGTCTGGAAGCCGTCGGAAGAGCTGGCTGGTGTCCACACACTGCTGGTGCTTAGTGTCTCGTCGTCTTGGTAATGTCCCATGCTGGCTTAATGATCGGCACGGACTGGACCAGGCAGTACCTGATTCATCCCAGCCTGGCACCATCATTGTCTACAGGTACCTGGGAGGAGAACTGCCAGGGACTTACCGCGGTCCTTCTCTACCACAAGACCCTCGGAAGCACCACTTAACCAAAGCAACCGTCTTCACCCTTGGCTTTACATTTAATTCAGCTTAAGTGTTAGAAAAAAATAAATAAATAAAAGACCCCCCCCCCATTAGATCTTAAGCTCCTTTGTCAATAAGTGGTTTCCTTCTTTATCTACTAAAGTACTTATTGCTATTTTCTATGGTATGTGCTCAGATGTGTTAGCTACATTGACAAATAGAAGTTGTATATATTTGCGGTGTACAACATGATGTTTTGATACATGTATACATTGTAGAATGGGTTATTTAAGCTAATTAACATATCCGTTGCCTTATACATTCTTTTAAAATGCTTATTTAGTTATTTGAAAGGCAGATGAGAGAGAGAGAGAGAGAGGGAGGGAGGGAGAGGGAGAGGGAGGGAGGGAGAGGGAGAGGGAGAGAGGAGAGAGGAGAGAGGAGAGAGGAGAGAGAAATAGGCAGGGAGGGAGAGAGAGAGAGAGATCTTCCATCTGCTTCTTAACTCCCCAAATGGCCACAACAGTCAGGGCTACGCCAGGCTGAAGCCAGGAGCCAAGAACTCCATCCCGGTCTCTGATGCGGGCGTAGGCGCCCATGCATGTGGACCATCATCTTCCCGGGTGCGTTGACAGGGAGCTGGCTCAGAAGCAGAGTAGCCAGGACTCGAACTGGCGCTTCGACATCGGATGTGGGTGTCAGTCACAAAGCCTGCTCCTGGGTACCTTCTTTTTAATGGTGAGAACATGTAAAATGTTAGCAGTTTTCATGAATACAACGCATTGTCACGAACAGTAGTCACCCGTGAATCACCATCTGGGTCCTGAACGTAGTGCTCCTAACTGGGAGCACCTTGGGTCAGCATCTCTCCAGCCTCCCTGCTCCGGCCCGGGGCAGCCACCACTCTGCTTCCCTTCTGTAAGTTCAGCTATTTTTAGCTCCCACACATAAGTGAAACGGATCGTGCAGGATTTGTGTTTCTGTGCCTAGCGTGTCTCACTTAGCATAATGGACATCTGCCTTTGTGGAGTGAGCCTTGGGTGCAGTGGTTAAGACACTGGGATACCCGCGTCCTCTATCAGAGCACCTGGTTCAAGTCCCAGTTCCACTCTGACTCCAGATGTCGGCTCATGTGCACCCTGGGAGCAGTAGTGATGGTCCAAGTATTTGGGTCCCTGCCACCCACATGGGAGACCTGTCTGGGTATTTGGGGGAGTGAACTAACAGATTGAAGATCTCTCTGTGTGTCTCTGTCTCTGTCTTTTAAATAAAAATAAATAAATAAATAAATAGATTTGAACAAATTATCTACCTGTACATATGTAAACATATTAAGAGGATTGAAATTGCCTATGATGTCATGTGGGGGCATCTCAATGCATTTTGTTCCAGTCTTTTTTCCGTTATTGACAAACGCCTCCCTGGTAGCGCTTAACCTAATCGCTGTCATGTAAAATTTGGCGGAGGTTAACTGGGACTTCACTCTGTGGATCTGGAGAAGATCTGACCTGTGTACTCATTTCACACCCACAGGCCTCTGGTCGGGCTTGATCCTCTGTGTCTTCTTTCAAGCCCTTTTCTACCTGGTGTATGTTTGGAGGACAAACTGGACAAGAGCTGCAGAGCAGGTAACAGGTGGTGTCTTTTTGGAAACGTGGCCCTGCTTGATCCCAGCACGTGATCAGGAACCTCTTAGGGCCATGAAATGTATCTCACAGGCCAGGTGGGGCAGAGGGAAGACCGCCTTGCAGTGCGTTGCAGCGCGTCTTCCTCCTGCTGTGGAGCTGAGTTAACACCTACAGACCGGGGAATGCACCTTACAAGTGAACAGCAGCAACAGAAAAAGGAATTCGCTTGCCAAGTATCTTTCCTGTTTCAGTGTAACAGTTTTAGAGAAATAGCAGTTTGGGTCCGCTTATGCAGATTACTGATTTGCGTAGGTTTCTTTTCTTTCACTAAAAGGTAGTATGCTACACATCTGTGATCTGTGGGACGCGGCGTAGGGCTAGAGGGTCAAGATCATGATGGATGCGTCTGTGTTGAGTGGGAAGCCCTTCTCTTGTTTGGGGCTTGAGAGGAGATGGGTAGGTGCTGGCCTGAGGCGGGGTTGTTGCCCGGAACACCAGGGGTGAGTTTGGTTTCACTGCTGTCCACCATCAGCTGTACCCAGCCTTTCCGTTTTCAACCCTTTTGATTTGCCTAACTGAGATTTATTTTGTCTTTCTTGCGCTCAGTTTGATTTACGAGGTGAGTAGAGTGTGGCAGGACCATAAACTGACACCATTCATCTTTAGAATTTACTGCTTTTACCTGTGTTTAGGAACACTGAAAGGTGTAAGTGCAAACAATGCACGACACTCGCGATGCTAGCAACAGGCTTTTTGTACTATTGCTGTGCGCTCAGCCTGGTTGTCTGGTGTTGTGTTCTGCTGGCCTGAGGCATTTTCAGGACTAAGAAAGGTGGTGCAAGATGACGTCACCCTTGAGCGGGAGCTTTGCACTGGAACAGAAGACTGCTACCTTGACTTCCACTTCCGGTACTCACCTGACATTTGTTTTTAGGCACGGGTTCGAGCTGGGCTAAAAGGGAGTAAAGAGACCATCCCTCCCCCTACAGGTAATGGGGGCTTTGCTATAGTGTGCCCTATTTCTCTTAAAAAGATTGAAACTGAGTGTAGCCGGAGTGGCTTAGTTTATGAAATCCTGCTCTCTTGCTCAATCAAACTTGTCCCGGTCATTGGCCAGGTGGACTCCGGGCTCTCCGTTGAAATGTGTTGAATGTAATTCCATGTATCCTGACTGACGACTGGCAGCCAGTGCTTACCATGTCATCTCATACACCTTCCGTGACAGTCCTTTGCTCCACCCGGTTCACAAGGTAACTCCCCCACTGTTCTCTGCAAACAGTTCTACCAATGCTGGAGAGAGAAGTGCCCGGTGCAGTGATCTTGCCTGATGTCATTGGACCGGAGAGCCAGACGGCCCAGCTGGTGGTTCTAGAAGAAGGCGGCACGCAGTACGTGGTGCCCACTGTCGGGCACATCTTGTCAACGAGGCAGCTGATTTTCTACCGCGGAGGGGCTTTAGCTGCTGCTCTTGCTGTCTTTTTGGCCGGAATTCTAATAAGAGTTTTTGGGGACCGTGGCTAAAACACTGTCATCAGCTGTCTACTAACCGATTACAGATGATAGGCATCAGTTAAGCCTGGAAGGCGACCTTGTCGTTTGGCCGATGGTCTTCATGCCCCAGATGTTAGTGTTGTTCCTTGGTCATTCTGAGAAGCTACCCTATCCTAACAGTGGTTCGAGAACGGAGCTAGAATTTGAAGTAAACTTTTTCTCTGTTGACTCCATCATGGTTTCTAAATCCATAAATTTGATTTTGCCTACTATAAAGGTTCTTCTTTTTTTTCTTTCTTTAAGATTTCATTTACTTGAAAAGCAGAGTGGCAGAGAAAGAGAGAGAGATCTTCCATACACTGATACACTCCCCAGCCACAACACCTGGGGCTGGGCCAGGTCAAAGCCTGGAGCCTGGAACTCCACCCTGGTCTCCCCCATGAGTGAGAGAGGCCCAAACACTGGGGCCATCCTTCGCTGCTTTCCCAGGTGCATTCGCAGGGAGCTGGACCGGAAGTGGAGCAGCAGGGACTTGAACCTGTGCTCATGTGGGATGTGGGTGTCGCCAGCAGCGGCTTCACCTGCTGCTCCACAACACTGGCCCCTGGAAATGTTCTTTTATGTTCTTTACTCTTTCTGTATGGAAAATAGTTTTCCTCCTTCGGGAAGGTTGCTTCATTTTTTTGTGCTTGGTGGCTGACCTCATTCAGTTGGTCTGTTAATGTATTCTGTTAATGTCGAGGTTTGATACAATGAACATCTTAAAACCGAAAGTGTGGCTGGCAATATTTGGGGAATATAAAGTCAATAAAAGTCGTTTTCATTTTTTTGCCTTTTAACACAATTTTACGGCAACGTATATTTTAATGACCAGAAACTCAAGCTGTGCTCTGGCTGCTGTGCTGTCAGCTACGGTGGCTTCACCTTCCAGACAAGGGATCTTCAGAGCCTTTTCCAGCGCATTTGACCAAACCAAAAAAAATCCCAATAATTAGTTTTTCCCAACGGCAAGCCCACCAGGCCATGAGCAGAGTCCCCAGCCCAGAGCCCTGCCTCACCCCGCCCCCCTCACCCTGCTGCACCGACACCACCTCTTTCTAGTCCATAGATCTCCATCTCACCCCGCCCCCCCCCCTCGGGCGTACACCCATCTCTGATCTGCGGCTGTGGGTTTGCGTGTTGTGGTTATTTCATCTTGAAGGAGTCATATGACGTGAGACCCTCTGAGCCTGGTTTCTGTCGTCTGGCACGATGTTCCTCTGCGATTCCCCCACAGACTGACGTGTGTTAAGACCCCTTTCCTTTTCAGGGCTGAGTGCCGTCTCCCTGGGCTGTGGGCACAGTTGGTGTGTGTGTCCAGCGTGAGTGGACGGGTAGGTTGTCCCTTCCTTTTGACTGGTGAGCAGTGCTGCTGTGGACATTCACGTACAAGCTTTCGTTTGGACATTCTGAGTTTTTACGCAGGAAGGACATTGTTGGGCCATGCGGTAGTTCTGCATGTAAGTTTTGGGGAACCACCGGTGTTTTCCGCAGTGTCTGTGCCTTCCACGTTAGCACCAGCGGTGTGTGAGGGCTCAGTTTCCTCCACTTCCTTCCTAACACTATGGTTCTGTGTTTTGTCTTTGTTTTCCTATGTTGTGCCATACCCGTGAGTGGGAAGCATTGCACTGTGATCTCATGGTAACCATCTTTCCTGAAATCCACTGGGAACTCAGATAGACACAAAGAAAGGAAGAGTTAGAAAAGCAATAAATGAAGGTCAAAGAAAAGCTCTTATTTTTCCATTATTAATTTATTTAATGGATTAAAAAATTGTTTAAAATAGTAGTAGCAACATTGCGTTTGGGTTATTATAGCTTATAGATTCCAAAAGTAAAGGTTAGGAAAAAGGCATTGAAAATATTCTTGGATAAGGCACTTGCATTACTCATGAAGTGTAGTACAAGTAATGTTATTCAAGAGTCGAATTAGATTAGTTATAAATGTATATTACAGGGGCCGGTGCTGTGGCGTAGCAAGTAAAGCCACTGCCTGCAGTGCCGGCAACCCATATGGGCACCAGTTCGAGACCTGGCTGCTCTACTTCCCATCCAGCTCCCTGCTATGGCCTGGGAAAGTAGTGGAAGATGGCTCAAGTCCTTGGGCTCCTGTACCCATGTGGGAGACCTTGGAAGACCTGGCTCCTGGCTTTGGATCAGCGCAGCTCTGGCCATTGCAGCCATCTGGGGGAGTGAACCAGCAGACAGAAGACCTTTCTCTCTCTCTCTCTGCTTCTGCCTCTCTGTAATTCTGCCTTTCAAATAAATAAATAAATCTTTTAAAAAGAGTTAGCAGTTAATACTGTTAAGATGACAATATTACCAAAATCAATCTACAGATTGAATACAATCCCTATCAAAATCCCAAAGGCATGTTGCAGAAATAGAAAAATCCATCTTCATATACATGTGGAATCTCTCTCTCTTTTTTAAAGATCTATTTATTTATTTGAAAGTCGGAGTTACAGAGAGAGAGAAGGAGAGGCAGAGAGACAGAGACAGAGAGAGATCTTCCATCGCTGGTTCACTCCCCAATTTGCTGCAATGGCTGGAGCTGGGCTGATCCAAACCCAGAAGCCAGAAGCTTTCTCTGGGTCTCCCACGTGGGTGCAGGGGCCCAAGGACTTGGGCCATCTTCCACTGCTTTCCCAGGCCACAGCAGAGAGCTGGATCGGAAGTGGAGCAGCTGGGACTCAAACCGGTGCCCAAATGGGATGCTGGTGCTGCAGGTGGAGGTTTTACCTGCTATGACACAGTGCCGGCCCCTATGTGGAATCTCAAGGGAACCAAGAAGCCAAAACCATCTTGGAAAAGAAGTACGAACTTAGAGGATTTCCTGATTTCAAGATGCATTACAAAGTGACAGTAGCCAAATGTGTGGTACTGAAATACAGACAGACCAACAGACAGAATTGGAAGCTGAGAAATTAACTCTGGCCTACGTGAGCAAATGGTTTCAACAAGAGTGCTGCTTTTCAACACACAGTGCTAGGGAAACTGAGTATCTGCATAAAAAAAGGAGAAAGTTGGACCTCCACCACCGTTTGCCAGACACAACTGTTAACTAAAGAGCGGTGGAGGGCCTAAGATCCAGGCTCAAAACTGTAAAACCTCTAGAGGAAAACACAAGACGAAGTCTCTATGAGAATGGACTAGGCAGTGGTTCCTGGGATCTGATACCAAGTGCACAAGCAACTAAAGAGAAATAGATAAATAGGAGTTAAAATTAAAAAGTGTGCATCAAAGAAAACTCATCATTAACAATAGTTAATAGAATGGGAGGAAATGTTTGCAAACTATGTATCTGACAAGGGATCAGTGTTCAGAGCCTATAAAGATTCACAGAACTCAGCATCACCAACAAAAATCTACTCAAGTCAAAAAAGTTAATATAGGGCGGCGGGGGTGGGGGTCACGCATTTGGCTCAGCAGTTAAACTGCTGCTTGTGACAACCACATCCCATATCAGGGTGCCTGGTTTGAATCCCAGCTCTGCTTCTGTTTCCAGTTTCCTGCTAATGTGCTCCCTGGGAGGCAGCAGGTGATAGCTCAAGTATTTGGGTTCCTGCCACCCAAGTGGGAGACAGGGATTGAGTTGCAGGCGCCTGGTTTTGGCCTAGCCCAGCCCTGGCTGTTGCAGACAGTTGGGGAGTGAATTCGAGGATGGGAGATAGCTGTCTGTCTGTGCCTGCCTGTAAAATAAAAAGAAAATAAATGTTAAAACATTGTTAAGTGGGCGTGAGACTTTTGTAGACATTTCTCCGGAGAAGATAAACAGTCAGTCCACACATGAAAATATTCTCTATACTAGGGAAATGCAACTTAAAATCACAAGTGTTACATAAAATAAAAAAAAAAATAACAAATGTTGGTGAAAACGTGGAGCATTGGAACTATTGTATGTTGCTGTTGGGAATGCAAAATGATACAACCAATATTGAAAACTGTGAGGGATCTCGAACAATTAAATACAGAATCAGCGTATGGTGTAAAAGTTCTACTTTAGGTATACGCTGGAAAGAATGGAGGACAGGGACTCAGAGACTTGCACACCAATGTTCACAGCCCCATTCGCAGTAGTGAAAAGGAGGAAACCACGCAAACGTTCATCAGTATAGGTAAAAGGATAAGCAAAACGTGACACATACCTACAAAGGGGTATTGCCTTAAAAAGGAATGAAATTCTGATACACGGAACAACACAGATAAACCTTGAAACTAAGGAAAATAAGTCCTCCTCGGAGTTACGCCAGGTCGCGTGTGCAAATTCACAGGGACAAAGACGGCATCCTTTCACTTGCGTGAATTACCCAGGTGCCTTAGTCTGTGGCCATAACACAATGCCTGCGACTGGTTAATTAATGAAGGAAAGGCTTATTGCGGCTCACAGTTCTGGAGGTGGGAAATCCAGGAGGGAGCGACCCCATCTGGGGAGGATCTCAAGCTGTTTCAACTCACGGCAGAAAGCAGAAGGGCAAGTGGGCACCTGTGAAAGCGGCTACACACGAGGGGTGGGCTCACGTTTAAGAGCATGCTCTCGTGGTGGTGAGGAAGGCACCGATCCTACTCATGTCCCAAACACCTCCCGCTCCACCCCGTCTCCCAGCACCGCTGCACTGGGGACCAAGCCTCCCCTGAGTCTTGGTTGGGACAAACCATGTCCAAACCACAGCACCAGAAGAGTCCACTTCATTAAATAAAGTACCCAGAGGTTATGGCAGGGCAGGTAAAAAATTCAGAAATTGAGCCGGCGCCGTGGCTCAATAGGCTAATCCTCCACCTTGCGGCGCCGGCACACCGGGTTCTAGTCCCGGTTGGGGCGCCGGATTCTGTCCCGGTTGCCCCTCTTCCAGGCCAGCTCTCTGCTATGGCCAGGGAGTGCAGTGGAGGATGGCCCAGGTGCTTGGGCCCTGCACCCCATGGGAGACCAGGAAAAGCACCTGGATCCTGGCTCCTGCCATCGGATCAGCGCGGTGCGCCGGCTGCAGCGGCGGCCATTGGAGGGTGAACCAACGGCAAAGGAAGAACTTTCCCTCTCTGTCTCTCTCTCACTGTCCACTCTGCCTGTCAAAAAAAAAAAAAAAAAAAAAAAAAATTCAGAAATGGATGATAGTGCTGGTGGCGGATCACTGTGAATATGGTTAAAGTCACTGAACTGTGACCTTTAACTGGTAAATTTTATGTGATGTTTGTTTTACGGCAATAAAAAATAAAGCCATATGGCAAACTAATAATAGAGAACTTTCTCAATTTAGTAACAAGTACCTGCAAAGAACTTTAGGTAACATTCAAGGAGCAAAACAATATGTCTTCCTGCTGATACGAAATAACACAAGGATGCTCCCTCTTACCATTTATTTTTATTTATTTATTTATTTAGGGGCTTGTGCTGTGGCACAGTAGGTTAATCCTCTGCCTGTGGCACCGGCATCCCATATGGGCGCCGGTTCGAGTTCCGGCTACTCCTTTTCAGATTCAGCTCTCTGCTGTGGCCTGGGAAAGTAGTAAAAGACATCCCAAGTCCTTGGGCCCCTGCGCCCACATGGGAGACTTGGAGGAAGCTCCTGGCTTCAAATCGGCTCAGCTTTGGCATTGCAGCCTTTTGGGGATTGAACCAGCGGATGGAAGACCTCTCTGTCTCTCCCTCTCACTGTCTATAACTCTGCCTCTCAAATAAATAAAAAAAAACATTTTTTCAAAAAGATTTATTTATTTGAAAGTCAGAAAGAGAGAGGAGAGGCAGAGACAGAGAGAGAGGGAGAGAGAGAGAGAGATCTTTAATTGTTGGT